GGTTACAATAACTTGAACGCACTGACATCTGCAGAAAAGCCTACTGTGCTATCAGCGTTGTTTTGTTGTAAATACCATGTAATATATAAGAACTTGCATGTGAAGGTTTGAATGGGAAATAAGACATACCAGGTAGCTCTTTAAATAGAATTTTCTGTATCAATGCATGAAAAAATTACAATTTCCAAGGTAGTATAGAGGATTACTTTGGTTGCAGCTTACTAAAGGTTTCTGTATTGAATGTATATATACATACTTCTAAGTGTGCTAATTCTTTGCTCTACCTCTTAAAAAACTTTGTTGAAATTGTTTTGCAGTGTAAAATTGTATATGTGTTAATAATCAATGTTGCATTTCATGCATTTCTTAAAACTGAATGCTGTTAATAAAGTATTAAAATCATTTTGGGAGTATGACATGTAAAAAGTATATAAGAACAAACAATTGATCTATAACTGCTATGCTTAGAAATTGTTGTCTGGTTAGTTATGAGAAAGTTTTCATTTCCTTCCCTGAGATCCTCTACAACAATATTTTACAGTGAAGGGAAATAAATGAATTCAAAGGCAGAAGGCGTAAAGCTATGATTTGTTACTTAAAAATTGATTCTGGTAACAAATAAAGCCCAAACGGGTCTTGTTGGGAATCACAGATCAAGTCTTAAAAAGAAAATCATTAAAATATTTAATTTTTATTAACAGAATATTTACAGTATTTTAAGACTTTTATTTAACCATAATGAATGTCCCAAGTTTAAAAAGCATTAAGCAATAACCACACACAAGATGAAAACATTGTAAACTATACAATACTTTATGTACATTTTTTACAAAGTAACACTTTTTTAAATAATATAACTGGACACAAAAATATACACTTTAGAGAAATTCACATCAGTAATTGTATAAAGCTCTCTTCTAGGGTCCTGAAAATTTAGGACAAACATTAGCTCTGTAAATAAAGTGTTACTGTGACAGTCCTGAAAGGCCACTATATATATTTATCTACATATAGATATCACATTGACATTTTCAAGGCTACCAGCTTTACTATGTACTTTGTAGATTATGTATTCAAGTGTTGAGGTCTTGTGATTATGCAAACATGAACAGAATAGTGGTAGGAGGAGGAGCTGTTGGAGCCAGCAGTTAAGATTTCTGGGCTCCGAACAAACCAATTTAAATTCTAAACGTCTGATATTTTTCCCTCACTTCAAAAGCTGTAGTGAATTTTTAAAATGAAATGACTGCACACAAGCTCGAAACATGATTCAGATTTAGTACAATTTCTTAAAAGTTTTTTAATGCAAACAATTCATTACCATTTCTTTCCTTTAGTGCATCTGCATTAAGGCTTTGAATTATTTGATCCAAGATTTTACAATATTAAAATCTGACTCGATTTACAATGTTAAAACGAATAGGTCCACAACCATACTACCGACCGTGTCTCACTGAGACTCAGCATAGAGTTAAAGCTCAACACCTTAAGGAAATGGTAGCAGAGACATATGCTAATAGCTAAGAAGTTACATATATAGTTTTTAATTAAAGGATGTATAATAAAACAAAGTTTAGTGGCAAGAAATTGGTGCTAATAAACAAGGTTTCTTTTTAAAAGAAATTGTAACATCTTTGGAAAACTGTCCGTTCTTTCTTAGTTCCCACGAAGTTCATGCAGATACATGTCTTAAGACAATCCAAGTACATTGCAGATGGAAATGGAATGTACATCCAGAACTACAGGTGAAAACTAAGACCTGGGTGCGGATAGAAAAAGCTTCCTGATTTCTGTCGTCACACATTTGTGTCTTGGAGTAAAGGTTCTTTGGCCTCTCCTGGGGCTTGTGTACTGTGAGGATGGCTGTGACCACCACAGTGCTTTTTCCAACTGCTGGACCTTAAGCTCAAGTTGGTATGTTCCGGAATAAACAAGGCAACGAGCAGAGCCAGCAGTACCGAACAGGCTCCAAAGAGGAATGGGGGCCCAGGGATGATGGAATTCTGAGGAAGGAAAGAGTAATTAGAATCTCTGCATAGATAATTTCATTAAAAATTGCTCTCTTGGTAATAACACTGCTATACATTAATGACAACGATCTCTCATGAAAGCCATGGTAATATAAAACCCTTTTAGAATGAGGGACATTGACTATCACACTCAATTTAACAATACTGGAGATAACAAAGGACGCAAAGGTCAGGACCAGGAGATCTTAAGGCCTATGTAAAAATAGGCTACTGCCATTTTCAGCTCCTTTTATTAACAATGTTTTAAAAGTCTTGAAGTGATTTCTTAGTTTAAAAATATTTATAGAAAGGTCTCAAAATCAAGTAGCATATGCAGAGACTACAGTAAAAGTAATTGATTATTTAACAGGTGTTAGGCGCCATCGAGTCAGCTACAACCCTCTGTACAACATAAGGGAAAGGCTGCATGGGCGGTCCTGAGCCGTCCTCACAATGGGTCCTGTGCCTGAGCCCTCAACAACTGGTCAAAGTCAATTAGCACGTAGTTTCCAGTTATGAACAAGAGAAGAATCTTTAGGAATCTGTGGGTCAGTTGGACAGGTTCCTATGGTTCTTATTTAGAGGATCACTGGTAATGCAACAGGTTAGCTGTTAAGCTACAACTCATGGTTAGTGTTCAAACCCACCAATAGCCCATGGGAGTAAGATGGAATTGACTTGAAGGCAGTTGAGTTTGTTTTGTTTTTTAGTACAAGAAATGCCTCAAAATCTTGCCAATATTTTAAAAGGAGCAAGTGTAGCAAGTAAAGGTGACTGACGAATTTGCTGTGTTTAAGGGGTTGTTTGATTCAGCGTGAGGGCAAAATTACATGTCATTAAACAAGGTTTTGAAACAGCTGCCCTACTCAAAGATGACTGGGCCACCCTGGCCACTCTGGATGTGTGTGGCTTTTCACCGTCCTGCCAATACTCAAGTTTACACATTGGGCGCCAGTTAGGACACCTTCAAACCTCTCACTGGGGGCATTTTCCTGTTATAGTGAAGGATCATCCAAGTTGTAACAATTCCAGCCAATTACTGTTTTGCTTTGTTGGCCAGGACAGAGCTGATCCAAAACGCTGCATAAAGGGCAGGTAGGATTTGTCTATGAGCTGGACATTGGAGGCTGTCTGTAGTATTATATTTCAAAAGGTCTCTATTTGTTGGTGCCTGAATATTAGAAAAACATGAAAAGATTCAAAACAGATCATCATTGTAGCCCAGAATTACTTCCATTCTTATAAAAAATTTGTTTGTACAACCAGTTTTATGTGTCAGAAGTTGTAGACATTTGAAAGATTAACTGTGGATAAGCTGTTTGTATTGGTTCAAATGACCCCCAGATTGTTTGCCCAAACCTGCCCTCCTAACTGCTTTCCTACAGAAGACAGAACAGAGGAAACTGTGTATTACTAAAGTCTCAGATAAAAGGCCAGAAGTAATAGAGATAGGATAGTGATACAGGCCAGTAGGTGCCATTTGAGAAAGTAAAGTTCTTTTCATTCCCACAGAGTAAAAACTATGCTCAGCTAGTTTCACAAGTAGTAGACTAGAGAATGGTTTCGTAGGCTTTGTTTTTAAAGCATTTTATTTAATTTAAAATACTAAGCCTCATATTGAAGCTTTAGTGACAAAAACTATTTATACTTCTTAATCGAGCCGAATAAACGATATAATGTCAATCAGGTTCATGAAGAATTACCTGTTCAAAGTGATGCTGGGGGCTTGTGTTTGTTCCCAAGTCGGTTCCTGTTATTGGCAGTTCTTTAAGTTCCACATGGAATATGTAGAAGATGAATCCATAAAGGGCAGGTCCCAGACCATTGCACAACCCTCGAATTCCTGTTATCATTCCTTGAACAACACCTAAGTTTATAAACAATCATTTAGTACACACTATTCATTTTCCTCCTTAATCCACATCCAAGGCTCTTAATCAGACACTAGTTAGCTTTTGTCAGCATTAAAAGGTTCCACAAAGTGTAATAGGCTAGCCAATGGAAATGTGAGCTTTTACACAGATGTCGGCAGACATGGGTGTAACAGAAACACCAGGAAAAGGTGCTACCATGAATCATAACTTTTACAATGTTCCTTAGTTAAGAATCAGCCATGAGCTCACAGGACCACTGTGAAAATCTCAAGCAACCAGGTCTTTTTTAAGTCAAATATATAGACTCAGAATTTGATTTTTCCCCGCCTCGAGAATCTTCTATCAAATATAAAATGCAACTGGCTTTGGCCGCAGGTCTTCCTGTGCTTGCTTAGCCACCCAGTGGCACGGACACTCTTAGAATACCCCCTTTTTATCTTCCAGAAAAATGCATCCTTTTCAAAGACCTAGTCCTCATCTATCAGCATTCCAAAAATTAAAAGGTTTTTTACACAAAGATATTAGGAGAAGATTGCTGATATATATGATAGTAATTGAAACCATTGGATTTTAGTAAAAGGGTGATGATTTTATTCCAAACTACCCAGCAACAGAAGATGCTATATAATGTGGCCATTCTTCACCATTAAATTTTTCTAGTTTACTGTTAGGGCTACAAGTTCAAAGCGACACCATCATTATATGAAACTAGAATCTCTTATTCCTCCTTACAGTGAAAGTAATTTAAAAATTCCCTATCTTGAATATAGGTTTATGCCTTAGAACAGTGGTTCTCAACCTTCCTAATGCCGCGACCCTTTAACAAAGTGTCTCATGTTGTGGTAACACCCCCCCCCAAAACCATAAAATTATCTTTGTTGCTACTTCATCATTGTAATTTTGCTACTGTTATGAATCTGGCGACCCCCGTGAAACGGTCATTCGACCCCCAAAGGGGTCGCGGCCCACAGGTTGAGAACCACTACTTTAGAACTTAAACGACAGAAGATTTGACACCAATTCTACTCAGACTTCCAGAACATAAAAGGAAGGAGACTCCTTAATATATTCTATAAAGTCAGCATAACTGATATTAAAGCCAGGAAGATACTACAGTAAAAGAAAATTTCAGACCACGAGCCTGAAATGAATATAGACCCAAAAATCCTCAACAGAATTCTAGTCAACAGACTTGAATAGCATATCACAAAACAATACATCATAATCAAGTAGAATTTACACCGAGGAGGGTCCAACATTAGAAAAAACCAATCCACATAGTTGAGACAAAGCAAGAAGATCACATGATTATTAATAAAGTAGAAGTCATCCATAACACCGCACACACAAACATTTTAAATGGAGGAAAGATCAAAATGTTGATGCTTAAACAATAAAGTTCCTCAAAGATAACAAAAATAAAAGCGGGGAACCTAATTTTTAACAAATAAATAGCCTATCAAACATAACTGAAAAAGCACAAAAAAGTAATCTAGATAACAGGGGCCACCTAAGAATTAAATACTTATGCCCATAAAAGGATCTACTAAAAGAGAAATAGAAAAAAAGAAACTAGTCTAAGGAAAAAACAACTTTAAAAAAATCATTTTATTGGAGGCTCGAGGAAAAAAATTTTCCCACCAGTGTATCTCACAAGGATCTAATATATAAAATACATACAAGCTTAGCTATTTATCAAAAGACAATCCAATTAAAAAAATGGGCAAGGATAGGAACAGATATTTCACTAAAGACAAGAGTCAAGGCCAATAAACACATTCAAAATCCAAATCAAAACAACAATGAAAACAATTTATAATTTACCCAGGGTTCCCAAGGGTGTGTGTGTGTGTGTGTGTGTGTGTGAAGAGGAGCTGATACCACAGGTTCAAGTAGAAACTTTTGAAAATTATGATGGCAACATAAAATATGTATGATGCAATTTTATGGCTTGTTATAAGTGGTAAGAGCCCCTCCCTAATACAATGATGCATTAAAAAATATTTCATTAAAACTACAATGAGATACCATCTTGCCTCTGCGACAATGGCAATGATTCGAAAACAGTAACAGCCAATGCTGGTGAGATTTTTGAGTGATGGAACTGCCACACTGCTGGTGGGATGAGACAAAGGCACCGCCACTACAGAAAGCAGTATGGTGACTGCTCAGAAAGCTAGGTACTGAAATAACTTATGATCTAGCAATCTCACTCTCGGTATACACACAAGAAATGTAAGAGCAGTGACACTAATAACAAATGAACATGTTCACTCCAGAACAAGAGGGAAAAAATGGAGGCCACCATAACTGCCCCTCAATGGATGAATAAACAAAATACCCAATGTGGCACATGCATACAGTGGAATATTATGCAATAAAGAGAACATCATATGGGTCAACCTGGAAGACTATGCTGAGCGAAGTAATGAATCACAAAAGGACAAATGGTCCCGCTACTCAGAAATGGGGAAAGAAAGGCAGAGGGAATTACTTATAGGAAGTAGTCACTTGTTTTTGGTGATGGGAAATAGGGGGAAGTCTGCACACTTTGACCAAGGTCTAGAAGACATCAGCCAAGAAGTTAGCAATTTTGATCAATGCTATGTATCACACACAATTTGCAACAGCAATAACACACAATATGTGTGGTTACATTAAGTAGCTAAGTTTTCATGTATGCTAACAGAAAGGCACGTGTGAGTAAATGGACATATGTGTATAAGTATAGCTGCAGGCATGTGTATAGACAGGATTGAGTGTGCTGCATATACTTGTATATTTATATAGGTAGTCATGCATATAAGGGGCAGTAATGAAGACTTCCAGACATCCAAGTAATTCACAGGATTGTCTTACTGGTTTCTAAGGCTTAGGAACATTCTGCACCCTAATTTGGTGAGTAGTATCGGGGACTTGAAAGCTTGTGGGCAGCCATCTAAGATACAGCCATTGGTCTTTACTCGCCGGAGCAGAAGAGAACAGGAGTTGGAAGACTCACAGAAGAAACGAGTGAGCAGGGCTAACTGCAGAGACGCACAGCAGCCTCTGCCAGCTGAAAGAGTGCTGCTGACTGTTGGAGCTAACTCCATGAAAGCAGTCCAAAGGGAAGGAAATATGTAAGAATGTTGACACTTTGTGCAAATTGTAGCCAATGTTCGGGAACAATTTATATATAAATTGTTAACCAAGGGTCTAATCTGCTGGGTAACCTTTTATATAAACCACAATATAATCTTAAAAATAAAAATCTACGAAGAGAGAATACAAGAATCTAAATGCCCTGCACTTTCACATGGGTTCCAATAAGCTCACCTTGTTGATCGGCATCAGCAGTTCGTGAAACAAGCGCACTGACCGCTGGGAAGGTAATGCTAGACATGGCTGCCACTGCCCCAGCAGCCCACATCATCCTAGAATCAATCCCAAGCAGAAAACAAACAGTTAAGGCAGCCTTTTCCACTGTACCTGTCAAGGGCCAAAATACATATGTAACATTACATAGCTCTTACTGTGAACTGGTACCATATGAAATGGTACAGGAAAAGGAGAAGCATGCATGCTCTATTTCAGGCCACTTAGAAATACACTCACTTATTCACTGGAATGGTGTGGATCTGACATGTACAAGCAGGAGCTCATGTTTTGAATTGTACAATGTGTTGGATATTAAAACTGCCAGCGATGGGTTATGTTGAGGATAATACTATATAGATAAACATCAAATGATTTCTGGCACATAAATAAAGCAGGACGTCTTCTGATAAGGTTCTCACTGGGGAGTCCTGATGGCACAACTCATCTAGATGGGCTGTCGGTAAGCAGTTTAGTGATCTAAGCCTCCCTTTAAGAAACAGACTAGAAAACCCTAGAGTGTAGCACTTCTTTGTCGAATGGGGTCACTCCATCTACACTGGCAGAACCCGATAAGCTGGATTTGGTGACATGGTCTAACAGTGTTTCTCAACCTTCCTAATGCCACTATCCTTTAATTCAGTTCCTCATGTTGTGGTGACCCCCCCCAACCATAAAATTATTTTCGTTGCTACTTAACTAATTTTGCTGTTTATGAATCATAATGTAAACATCTGATATGCAGGATGTATTTTCATTGCTACAAACTGAACACAAAACAATATGTTGTGAAATATGTATTTCTAATTACAGATAAATGAAATTTTGTCTTCAAGCATGTGTAGCATGGCTAACAGTCTTCATGCCAGGTACTTGTATGTGGGCGTGTCTGCATGTGGGTGGATCCGTCTGGAGATGGATAGAGGAGCGGTGCCTCGGTTCCTAAGACCATCGGAAATATGTGAAAGGGTTGTGACCCACAGGTTGAGAACCACTGTGGTATAAAGATAGCACCGATCTGATAATCCTTACATTTTAATGAGTTGTAACTTAGGTGTTTTGGGGGTCATGTTTAAAAGAAGAGTTTTAGATAATTTAAATGGTGAGCACAACTTTGCAAAAGCTAAGTTGGAAACCAAATTATCCACCAAAACATGTTCTTGACGCTTATTCCTAATTCATAGCCAAGTCCAAACAGAGGGGAGGTGCTCAGTGGTCAGTGTGGACAAACTGAGCCCTTCAGTCCTACAATACAGTTCACGATTGCTACGCTGTCTGAAGGAAGAGCTAACAGGCAGGGCAAGAAGCGAAGACTAAAGTAACTGGGCTCTCACTTATTTCTGGTTTGCCATCAGTGATAGAGAAAAACAGCCAGCAGAAGAAAGAAAAACTTGTAGCATCGGCTTCCAGAACCTGGTGTGGCGGGCTCACCTGTTCTTTCCTAGTCAAACAAACTGGATTCACACTTGTTAAGGATCCAAAGGCTCAAAAATCTCATTTATAAATTAAGTCTCTCACTTAACTATAAAATGTTACCTTTCTGTCCTCAAGCTATTTTTAGAATACATAAATATGCAAGTGCGAGATTTGTAAAACGCACATTCTGAGAGGAAAAAACCAAAACAATTGTTTGTAATTGATATATTAAAGTCTTGGTTGAGAAGCAAGACCCCCAAAAGGCAAACAACACAACTGAAAGTAAGAGTTAAAATATTGATACTTACCAAGGTTCTGAACCAAAGCCATACCATGCCAGCTGTAGTATTTGAAATCCCAGACCCAATAAAATGGTGTTCTTATTTCCGATCGACCTCATAAGTAAACTCAAGACTATAGTCTGTGGGTGGTAGGTGGAGCGTGCAGAGGAAAAGCAAAATATTTTATTAGAATGAGCCTCAAAAACAAAAAAGGAAGATAAAATATTTGGTGACTTTTAAAATTCTATAAAAGAATTAAGATTTTTGTACAATTAGGCTTTTCAGCAACAGCTGTCCTACATATAAGTGAGGCCATTACTCAGGATGAAACAAGCAGATGTCCTCTGCTGGCCCGGATGCAGAGCTGAGACTCCCACATCTGAAACGCAAACTTTTCTGCGCCACGCACGGTCTACTGAGGGCCACACTGAAATGTGAAGCCAGTACGGTCAAAAAATTCTAACCAGCAATTTAGAGTTCTATGTAATAGCTTTAAAATCGTTTTTACAAATCTATAGTTAATCCAAAAGACTTTTCCCCAAAATGTAATAAAAATGGAAATAACACAATTTATCCAGGTATCTTTCACCACAATTACGTTACTGTGGAAACTATGAACAGTCAGTTGAACAAGCATGATATGGAAGAAGAAGATATGCTGATTAGTCACAAAAACTGGGGGAAATGCTAGCGATCAGAATCTGGCCGTTAGCCTTGTGTCCGTGGACTTGGGAGCCTCATTTTGTCGTACACAGCAAGGGTGCTCATACTCTTGAAAGAGCTCTGGGGATGGAGTGGTTGTGCATGAAGCTGCTCACCATCCGGTCAGCAGTGTGAAACTACTAGCCGCTCCGTGGGAGAAAGACAAGGCTGTCTACTCCCATACTGACATATGATCTTAGAAGGCCACAGAGGCAGTTCCACCCAGTCCTATAGGGTCACTATGAGTCAGAAATGGGCTTGAGGGCAGTGAGTTTGAGATTTTTTTTTAAAGTATCTTTTTTTACTTAAAATTAAGGGGGAAAAAACACATCTGCAAACCTTTTCATAATCAAAACATGGGCTACATGAAGTAAGGCTCTATGAATCAGAAAATACCTAAAATGAAATTTAATACTTGAAATTCCTAGTCATGAGTACGCTGAAATGGGCTTTGGGTCTCCTCTGAGGGGAACCGCAAAGTGACGATGAACGGTGTCATAATTATCATCAGAAAGAACACTCCAAGCCCCGTCCTGGAGTAGAGTACTGTCAGTGGTAGGGCAGTATTCATTTATCTACAAGGAAGACCGGTTAGTACACCCATCATTCAAATGTATGCACCAACCACTTAGGCCAAGGAGGGGAAGATAGTTTATCACCCGGAAAATCACTATTTTAAGAAAGACTGATATGCTAAACTCCCAACTATCGAGTATGGTGCAGTTTAAAATTCCTTAATTGTATACTCAGTGAAGAGTTTAATTCGATTTAATCCCAAACATGCCAGTGGCGAAACCAAATGGCTTTCCTCTCTGAGACAGTCACTGAACTGGAAGGACTGAAGGCTGACTCCGCAACACGTGGCTATCTAGTGAGAGTACGCACTTAGTCAACTTTTAGAGTGTACCCTCAGCGTGGTGGGGACAAATTGGCCTGGAGAAACAGAGAACAAGAATGAAGAGTCGAATAGTTTAGTGAATTACTTAAAAAATATTCCCACACATAGCACTTTCATCTAATACCTGTGATTCCTCTCTTATGTCTCTAAGAACGTAGGTTACAACAGCATTTGTCTCCTTATCACTGCTAAACGCAAGCTAGGAATAAAAAGAAGAAACAGATTTCCCAGGATGAAACCGCCTGCCAGTTCAGCCAGGGGCAAGACGACCTCGCGAGCGCTCCTGGAGAACGGGCTGAACGGGCCTGGCACTGCTTCAAGAGCGCTGGCCTACGGAAGTACCTGTCTTGACAGCGCTCAAGGGTAGACATTATAAAACATGCTTACAGAAATGCAGCTGGCTCCTAGCCCTTCATCTACCCAGCTATCCAGAAAGGATTTATTTCTAGGTATCAGCACTTTTTCCTCTTTGGGGAACTATTCTCACAGACTACATGCTAATTCAGTAGCAAGGCTCCAGAGTTTGCTCTGACAATCGTTTTCACTTCACAGAGGGATAACTGCATAGTTCTTATGGCTCTAGGCTGTCATTGCAATCAGAAACAGAATTCAGAAAGACTGACAAGCCTCCTCCTGTTTCCTAAAGTCCTGATGAGAGCTACTGAGGGAACCTTCTCTCACATTCCTCCCCACACATTCTACCTCAAGACCTAACACCTGAAGGGCACCGACTGTAACCTGTGACAGCGATTTTCTCCTTGAAGGCAGACTCCTCTTAATTTATTTCTGTATCCCCAGCACCAAAGTGTCTGTCACTAATCAGAGGCATTTTCAGTACATGTTTAAGGGAGCAGGCAGGGATCGAAATAGATCACAACATCCACAATGCCTAGTAGTAACTGGAATGGGTCCACTGACTTTCTTAATATATACTGTGCTTTAATCAAACAAAACATCCTTAATTTAGATGGTAGAACTAGACCCTGAAAAATGATAAAGCTGCGAGCAGATAAATTGCCTTTGCTTTGTCTTTGTTCACTTTGTCACAAATATTTGCCAAGTTCCTATTACCTGCTCAGTGCAATTCCTACACCAGGTCTCAGGACACAGTAGTGACTAAGTCAAAATGCAAGTCAGCACACGAACGATGTACTCGCCCCACCCTAAAAACCCCAAACAGAGCAGCTGCCATTGAGTCAATTCTGACACACAGTGATCCAATTCGACAGAGGAGAAATACTCCCTGGGGTTTCCAAGGCTATAATCTTCATAGGAGACAGCCCCATCTTTCTCCCTCGAATGGCTGGTGGGTTCAAACTGCTGACCGTGCAGCTAGCCACCTAGGGAATAACCCATTAGACCACCAGCGCCCCTGAAGTACATACTCAAACTCAAAACTCACTGCCATCAAGTCAAAGCTGACTCACAGTTTCCGAGACTGTAACTGTTTACAGGAGTAGAAAGCCCAGTCTTGCTCTCTCAGAGCTACTAGTGGTTTTGAACTGCCAACCATATGGATCGTAGCCCAACGCGTTATCACTACACTAGCAGGGTTCCATACTAGGGGAGGGAAAATGTGCTTTATTTACCAAGTGAGGCAATTTCAGGTTTTAATTGCTATGAGGAACCCTTGGGCGTCTCATATAGTTGAACACTTGACTGCTAACCCAAAGTTTGACGCTCAAGTCCACCCAGCAAGGACTTAAGAAAGGCCTGATGGAAATGGAAAACCCAAAGGAACTCTCTTCTCCCCTAACATGGGGGTCACAATGAGCAGGAATAATGGGACTGTTACTGGATTGGTGAGGGTTTTTCCCAATGAAAGAAAACCGAATCGGCTACTGCTGCTGAGCCTGCAAGGTCATTCTAGGGTGATATTGGAAGGGAAGAGAGTTCTGCGAAGATCTGGGCAGACTACTACACATAGAGATGACAACACATGCAAAAGCTACCCATTGGGCCCTACTCAACGAGTTAAGAAAAAGAAATAAGGTCATCCCCAGAGTAAGTTTTATTCTGCTTATAACGAAAAGCAAGTTTTAAGTGGGAAAGGTAAAAGAAGAGATTGCTACTTTATAAAAATGAGTATGCAGAGTAGAGAATAAACTGTAGGAAGGTGGCTGGGTGTTGCAAACAGTTAAGTTCTCAACAACTAGCTAAAAGGTTGGTGAGACTGCCTCAAACTCACCCACAGGGGCAACAGAAAACAGGCTTGGAGATACAATTTGAGTGACAGAGATAAAGAGTAAGAAGGAAATCAAGTTTTCTGGTCCAAATAACCATTGTGGTGGTGCTACTGAATGTTATGAAAATACTAGGGGGAGGGGGAGAGGGGGGGAATGCAGAAGGTAGCACCGACACAGCTGAGGCAAGGAACAGCTCAAAGAGCAGCCTGGAGGTAGACATTCAGATGTCACCAGCAGGGAGGACAAGAACTCGCTACATCTATTCACCTGCGGGAACACTGATTTGGAGAAAGTGTTATGAATTCATATGTGACTGAGTGAAATCAGAAGGCTTTCAGGAAATAGGAGGGGCCCTGGTGGCACCGTGGTTAAAGCGCTTGGTTGCTAGCTGAAAGGTGGGCCAGTGGTTTGAACTCACCAGCCACTCCACAGGAGAAAGGTGTGGCCGTCTGCTTGCACAAGGATTTATAGCATTCGACATTGAATGGGTAGTTCTGTTGTCTTTCAGGGCTGCTATGATGTGGAACTGACTCCAGGCCAGTGGTTGAAGTGTAGTTGAAGATAACCAGGGGACATGTGGCAGACTAGAGAGTCAATGCTCCAAAGGGCTAACAATTCCGTGACTTCCACCGGAATCTAAGTTCATCCAGTGTTACCGAATCTCAACATTTAAGGGGAAGACATGACACACCTGTGTTCCTAACATAATACTCTCAGAAGTTTCATTTTATTACTTTAAGGCAGGGGTCCTCAAGTTTTTTAAACAGGGGGCCAGTTCACTGTCCTTCAGACCATTGGAGGGCTGGGCTATAGTTTAAAAAACAAAAAAGTATGAACAAACTCCTGTGTACACTGCACATATCTTACTTTGAAGTAAAGAAACAAAAGGGGCAAAAACCCCCAGCGGGCTGGATAAATGTCCTAGGCGGGCCGTAGTTAGAGGACGCCTGCTTTAAGATTTTAGAAACACCCTGTGAGAAAACAGTGACGTGTAACACTTGCTGGTAACAGGCATGGTACTGGGTTACAGAGCGACAAATGTGAGTAGAAGACAGTCCTGACATCTAAGAGTTCACAATCTCCTACGATAAAAATAATCAGAAATAGATTCAATCTGCAATACATTGTATCTGTGCAATTATAGGAATTTGCCTAATTCACAGAACCCATAGAAGAGATGCTTAGGGCAGAAGATAAGGAGACAGAAAAGAAAGCAGAAACAAAGTAAAAAGAAAAAAAGGCATACATAGCAGCTATCAGCAGCTTCCTGCGGTTGTAGAAAAGGCACGAAAGACACTGGTCTTTTGCTGGTTGGAGAGGTCATCAGGGGACAAGCCGTTCTCAATTGTTTACTTCTGTACAAATGAGAATTCCAAATAATTTTCCTACTTTTGGAGCTTAATATTTTCGATGGTCATAGAGTGATATAAAAATGTAAACTATATGCAAATTACACAGACTTGCTTTCGAAGGCAAATTAATTGTTTTGTTATACACAATAGCCTTCTCAAAATCGACCTCTGTGTGGGCAGCAGAAGCTTCAAGGCGGATGTCAGTCCCCGTTCCGTTCCGTGTAGACAGTGTGTCTGCACATACGGTACTATAACATTAAGTGCTGTCTGGACTGTTGCTGATTCTCTTCCAGCCTCACAGACTTCAGGCTGCTGCAGTGCTCTTTCCAAAGAGACAAATCCAAACATGCCTCTCCTCTTTTCTTCATGGTCTACCCTGCCAGATGCTGAGCACTTCCGGACGATTTTTTATCTACAGCACCTTCAACTCATCACTCAAGCAGTGCACAGTGTTACTGCCTGCTAAACATTACATTGTGCCGACCAAAAATAGGGGGTAAAAATATGAACCATTATGCCTCTGGCTATAATGCTGTTTGGGAACAGGATTCCCTTAATGTTAATGAGGATCTAACAGTGCAGTGTCTTAGCTAGTCACTTTCAAGAAATTTAAAAAAATTAAGCAGAGAGAGGCAAAGAACACAGAGAAGAATGTTACAGAAACAGAGACAATGTCCAGATTAACTGATTGTAGGAGCTGTAGGAGCTATGGTATAGAGCTGAAGTATGGCATAAAGCGTAAGACACTAACACCTTTAAATCACATGAACCTGTTCTCTGATGAAAAAAAATCTTAAGCAAAATATTAGAAACCAAATCTCATTCATCTATGCAAAAGGCAACGCATCACAATCAAGTTGGACTTATTCCAGAATTACAGGTCATTTTAACATTTAGTAACACATCACAAGCTAGCCTTACTGTCTGTATTCTTCCTTTATGTGATACTTCAAGTGTGTGCCAGTGTGTTTCAGAAAAGTCATTTTTATCTATAGATTTTTATCTATGGCGACAACTTATTTTCCTTCAAAAATGAAAAGCACTTTTTCTTATTATCCTTCCTATAGATCTTTAAAAGTCAAAAGTATGATGAACAGGAATACGTATTTTTTTAGGAATAAATATTTTAATGCAATGTTTTTTCTAGATTAAGAATTTTCGGAACAAAGCTGAAGTTACAAAGAGTACCAGTAACCAATGTCATCGGAGTCTATAAAGGCAAGAGGAGTTGTATTATAGAATTTAACGATAACGTTTACTACCCAAGCCAACACAAATTCATAAAGGATGAGGTATGCAGAAGGAATCCTACACCTAGAGAGGATAAAATGTCAGAATCCAATTAAACAGACCTTATGCTCCATATGGTGTACACAATGGACTGCTAAATGCAAATCGGCAGTTCAAAACCACCAGCCTCTCTGCAGGATAAAGATGACGCTTTCTACACCCGTAAAGAATGACAGTGTTGAAAACCCACTGCGACAGCTTTACCTTGTCCTACAGTGTGCCTATAACTGAACTGACTGGATGGCAGTAAGTTTACTATTTTGGATATGTTCCATATTTCTAAAACTACAATAAAACAAAAAAGTAAGATCTAATAAAACTGGATGAAAGGTGAAAGGAAGCTAGATGTGATTATTGAATAAAAAGCAAGGCCTTTTTTACCAAAAAAGGAGAAAGACCCTGAAGCCGAGTGGTTACTGGAGAAGAATATGACTTTCTTATGGAACTGAGGTAGTCTGAAGACCAGAATGAAATAAACAAAAAATCCAAATTCCTGGGCTGATTACATTTCACTATCTTAACCATCGAGCAGTGTTTACCAACTGGCTTCCAAGACAGACACCCACCAATTGCTTTCTATTTTACATGTCTTCGGCCTACTCAACAAGTCTCCCATGATTATGCTGTGTGGAGCTTCTTCTAAGAGCTTTATTTCTGCACCTTCTGCTTGGAATTCTCTTCACAAGACGTCCCCATAGCTTGCTCTTAGTTTCTTCTGGGTGTCTGCTCAAACGTCATCAAGCACCAGCAATGTCTTCCCAGCACATCCAGATTAAAACAAAACACCCCAAATAAAACTCTGCTCCTAAGTGCTATCTATAACCTCCTCAATCTTTTGTTTAAACACACTAATTTTTGCAGAATGTAAGCGCTAAAACAGCTGAGTTCATTGCTATGTCCCCAGTGCCTAACACACTGTTGTTAAGTGCAGCCAACTTCATTCTGACTCATAGTGACCTAGCATACAACAGAATCAAACAACTGGTTTTGCGCCATCCTTAAGGTGACCAAACGTCCTGCTTTTGGCAGGACAGTCCCGATTTTTAACAATTTTCCCCCGCGTCCCACGGTGTTTTAAGAAAGTCCTGATTTTTGGAAAGAAGGCACGACAAGCTAAGGTAGACGGTTTTCGGCTGCCATGTGGCTATTTCGCCAGGATATGAGTTTTATCAATGGTGTCCTGCTTTTGTCCTGCTTTACCAATGTTAAAATCTGGTCACCTTAGCCATCCTCACAATTGTTCTCATAGTTGAACCCATTGTTGCAGCTACTATGTCAATCCACCTTGTTGAAAGTCTCTCTTAGGGAACCGATTACAAGGGACTATATGTGACCTCCTCCCTGGGGGACGGACAACAGAAAAGGGGGTGAGGGGAGACGTCGGACAGGGCAAGATATGACAAAATAACAATTTATAAACTATCAAGGGCTCATGAGGGAGGGGGAAGCGGGGAGGGAGGGGAAAAATGAGGACCTAATGCCGGGGGTTTAAGTGGAGAGAAAATGTTTAGAGAATGAAGTACAAATGCGCTTTACACAATTGATGTGTGTATGGATGGTGATAAGAGTTGTATAAGCCCCTAATACAATGTTAAAAAAAGAAAGGAAGTCTCTCTTTTTCTCTGCCCCTCTACTGGACCAGTCCTCCAAGGGCTGTCTCTCCTGATAACATGGCCAACGTACATGAGACAATGTCTTGCCATCCTTGCTTCTAAGGAGCATTCTGGGCTAATATTGGATTCAATATATATTTGTTGGCTGTGTGAACAACAGAACAAGGACCAAAAGCTTTAGGTCAACATATATCCTGGTATAGGGAACCCTGGTGGCACAATGGCTAACCAAAAGGTCAGTGGTACAAACCCACCATCAGCTCTGCAAGAAAAAGACCTAGTGATCTGCTCCCATCAAGACTGTTATAACCAAGGAAACCTTAGGGGACAATTCCACTTGACCACATGGGCTGGTTGGGAGTCAGTAACAGTATTCAACAACAACATACCCTGTGCTAACAAATTAATGTTCTGATTCACACATATATTGAAATAATTAAACTCTTCATCCCCACAATCTGACTAATCATGGATTGATTAATAAAATTTAGTTTCTAAGCTCACAAAACCCGGGACTCCTACTTTAGGTGACATCATCAATGTACTATCAGTTTTTGAGATGCTATCTGGATAACCAGCCGAGGTTCCCAACTATGCCATCACTCTGTAGGAAAATGACACGCACCTGTGCAATAATGGAGAGAATGCCAAGAACTGCGATAAATGCTGCAACACTTTCTGGTGAAAACTTCATTATCTAGAAAATTTCCAGAAAAGTTGTATTAGTAAATTAAAAAGCAAAACAAATGCCATAAAAATACAATTATATACACATGAATATTATTAAAACGGTCAGGGGAAAAAAAAGTACAACTCATCTACAACTAAAGAACACTTCCAGACAGGAATCTGGCTTACACTGAGAACTAAAAATATAACAAGTATTAGCACACTAAAAATAATAACTACTTAGACATGGTTCCTAATGTGGCTAAGTCCAGTATGCAGAATGCTACCAAGAGTCAACATCCATTTTACAAATAAGTAAGATGGCACCGCGTGCCACTGTCTGTCAGTGTGTTGTCCTGTGGTGTTCGTGTGTGGCTGTCATGCTGGAAGTGGCTCCCCACTTCTGAGGAGGAAGCCGTGAAACCTTATGCATAGCTCTGAAGCATTTTTTATAGCTATGTTAAAAGCTCACTCTCTGCTTACTGAATCAGATTGGTAGAGAAATAAACCTGTATTTGGCTAGCTGCTCTACTAGTATATTATTATATGCTGCAAATCACAAAGAAACTATTAGAGACAGTGAATGTAGTTAAGATCACATCACTTACAGAAGCAAAAAAAAAGAAAAGCCACAAATAAAATCCAACTACCTAATAATTCACTCTTATTATCTATGCCAAAATTCTTAATATGTAAACTATCTCTGAGAAATGCATGATTTCATATATAATACATCCCCTCAAAAAAACGATAATGGAAATCAGTCACATAAAACAGGGGGGTTATTTTCAGTCAGCTGTTGTTTACAAAATGAGAGTTATTTTTAGAGATCTGTTTATTGTACCACTCTTCACTATTAAATATTATCATTATTCACTAAACAATGAAAAAACTTAGCAAAATTGGATTTTACCTGTCTGAGGTATAAAAAAAAGCTGGAATATTGGCCTGCCTCTGGTAGGTAGGAGAGAAATACCGTGATGCAGATTAGCAGCACTATGGAGTCTTGGCCCACTTTTTTTAAAGACTAGAAAAGAATAATTGACATAAGGTTTTACATCAAAAACATTTAAAATACTCTATCAAGAGAAGAATGTACAAACAAAAGGTGGTACATGCATACAGCTTGGAAGAGAAATGAAAAATTGATACATGCTATAATATGAATCAATTTGAATGTTGAGTGAAATAAAATCACACAATATTAAACTGCCTCACAGGAAAAGACAAGACAAGGCATATGTAGATACAAGAGAAGATAATTATGAAACTGAACAATAGTTTGGCTCACATAGTAAAGTTTATTAGTAATTACCAGGAGCAGAAAAGAAGGCTTAACTGTGATGGAAAATTCACATTGTTTAAGGATAGAGCTGCACAGCCGATTATTATAAATTACCTTAGATCAGTTAAACCCCTACAAAACTGGATTGGTAAAAGTTGTGTCTTAAAGGAGGTTTCAGGTCACAATTTCATGAAATAGCCCAGTTCACTGGCTTACTACTGAGCTTAGTTCTTCTGTTCTGCTTCCTAGTTGGTTTGCTGTGTAGTACCTGGGTCTAAAACCTGGCAAGTGGCCTTCTAAATATAACAAGTGGTTTCAGAGGAAGGAGCACCAAGAATAGGGAGAGAAAATGAAATGTATGGCCCAATTCCCTCTAAGAACATCTGCCTCCTTTGCCATTCGACCACAAGAAATGGATCGTGTCTACGTATCATTCCCATAGGAGAATCCTGGCCCAAAGGCAGAAAATGCCAAACAGAACGTCTGTAGCCATGGAGGGTGGATACCACCCCTGCCAACCACTGTTTTAAGAAAATCTTTAAACCTTAAACACAAAATATCCCTTGAAGTCATCTTAAAACCAAATAGCTTAGAGTTAACAAATAGAAACGATCTACCTTAAAAACAAATGGTTTATCTGAGTATTATGATCTTTTAAGACTTACTTTTATGGGCTCCAACCCCCAGAGGTAACTAGAAAGACTGAAGGGCAGTAACGTTCGCGCTACTGGAGGAGCACTCAACAGGGAGGGAGAGTGGCTGCAGCAGGAGAGTATGTCATCGGTGTCACTAATGGGGACTGGTGTGTGTTTTGCTGTGCATATTCTCAACAGCAAACAAACACAATTTAGATGACAAAACAACTCCTTTTGCTAGTGTATACACACATGTAATTGCCTTTATCTCTTCCTAAAATGCTCTGTAAAGTTAAATATATCAAAATCCCTCAAGATGTTTGCTTCAAAGAAACATCCATAACAAAATAGTAATGCTGAAAATGAGTTGAATAATGCATGGAAGAATCATTCAATTTTTTTGCCAAAGAGCAAAAAAACAAACAAAAAAAAAACCATATAAACTTACTGCAAAGGGGTCAGCCTGTTCCCAGGAGATGGGTGCTCCCCAGGATGCAGGACGCATCTTCTCAGGCAACGACTCTGGCACAGCAACGAGGATGAAGCAAATATCTAGCAAAGCTATTGCTGTAGCTAGGACCACCACTAAGCTGTCTCCATACACTCGGCCAAGGTAAGCTCCAATTGCAGGACTGGTTACTAAACTCGCAGCAAATGTTGCTGAAACCTGCAAGAAATTAAGGTTAGATAAGAAGAGATATGATGACTTTTTACTTCAGCACCCCCAACTCCTTTCATACTCTTGGCTGATCTCAAACTCTGTTGCATATTCCCTTTCCTTCTACTACCTGTGCCACTTTTCTTATTCTCTTTCATTTGCAGGAAAAGAATCAGGATCTTATCTTAAAAAAAACATTTAATAGCATTTATGGGTCAGAGCCCTGGTGGCATAGCGAGCTTGGCTTTGTAAGATAGAATTGGCACCATGATAGTGGGAGGGGAAGAAGCATTTAGAAACTAGAGGAAAGTTGTATGCTTCATCGTTGCTACACTGCACTCTGACTGGATCGTCTTGTAATTCTATTTCTATGCGATTTCCGACTTTTAGATTAAAAAAACAAACCAACCAAACTCAATGCCATTGACTGGTACTGACCCTGCAGGACAGAGCAGAGCTACCCCTGTAAGTATCCAAGGCTTTACACCTTTATGGGAACAGAAAGGTTCATTTTTCTCCCGAGGAGCAGCTGGTGGGTTTGAACTGCCAACCTTGTGGTTAGCAGCCCAATTCACCAGAGCTCTCTTCATGATAAAGGAGATTATTTAATTGCAACTGTTTATTAATAATGCATGACTAGTAATTTACTTTTCAAAGACTATATAAACAAGTCTTAAAAAAATGTTGATGTCAAACATTGGCCATCAATCCACATGTCCACCAGTGAACCGGTAAACAAAAGGTGGTATATTTGTACAGTAGAATATGATATAGTAATAAAAAGGAATAAACCAGGTAGATAGATATGTCAGTTCATGATATATAATATACACAATCTTTATCTTAGGGTTCTGTTCAAAATACTTTTATTTCCTTTCTTTTTAAAATCATTTTATCGGGGGCTCATACAACTCTTATCACAATCCATCCATCCATCCATCCATCCATCCATCCATCCATCCATCGTGTCAAGCACATTTGTACATTTGTTGCCACCATCATTCTCAAAACATTTGCTTTCTACTTGAACCCTTGGTATTTGCTCCTCATTTTTCTCCCTCCATCCCCACTC